TTGGTCTATATGACAACAAACCTATTAATATTTAAAATTGCTACTTTTGTATATCTAAGTATGAAAATTCAACAAAAGTTATAAGTAAATAGTAAAATATTTAATTTTCAATTAGATTAATTTAGAACCATATTTATATTGTGTCTGATTTCTTAGGATGAATTTTTTAATCATAATAGTTACACTAAGTTTTTACTTATCACAAATTTTATATCTTTTGTATTTTTAATAATCTTTTTAAATGTCCTGTTAATGTTTTGTGTTATTTATATGCTTAAGTACTTAAAATATTTAAAATTTCTAGTGATTCTTGACTGCATTTGATTGTAAGATTAACTGTTTGACACTGTATTTTAAGTGCAATAAATTTTACTCTAGTGATTATTTTATTGATAATATAACCTAAATAATAATAAAACTTTATATATATTTACTAGGTATATATAAGGTTTTATTAATTTAATTTCCCTAAAAATATTTCTGTAATTATCAGTTTCCTAAAATTCAAATTAGTTTAATATTCTGGTAGACCTTACCGGATTATCGGACTACCGACGTCATAGAATGCGGTGTTGCCTTTTTTACTTCATGGCTTGGAAGTAAAGGTGGCTGTGGTACAGATCTACTTTTGGATTAGACTGCGTGGAATATGGGCCCCCTAGTAAAATAATTGATAGGTATCTAACAATTTGAAAAAACATATATTTTTCAAATAAAAAAAACTGAAAATGAAAATGAAAATACATTTCAACTTAAAAACCACATATTACACGCAAAAGTCACAAATATATGCATCTTTTTCGGCACCTGAACATTGTTCGTGAGCCCATTGATTGCACATGAAGCATTGAATCCATAACTCTCCTCTCTGGTCATCGGAAAAGCGACCATCACAAAATAGGCATACTGCATCACAGCCGTCAGGAACAGATTTGCCAATTTCGTCGATATCCATATCTTCATCGTCTGGGACAAACTCGTGACTTTCATCCTCAGAGTCGCTGACTTTATTGTCTTTTGCTTGCTGTCTTTTTTTGTTAGTTGTCTTCTTTGCTTTTGATTTTGAAAAGACTTGTCGTTTGGTGCTTGCTTTCTTAGGCGTGTTGGTGCAGGATTTCTCTAACTCATCCTTGTAGGGGAAGAGGTGATCACTTGCGATTTAGTTGATTTTCTTCCCCGAGTGGTATTTTCTTTGTGACGGAAGGTACAGGTGAAATGTCAAATGGTGAGACCAATTTAACGGAATTTTCCATTCCTGGAACAGATGGTCTAGAGAAATTGGAATTTGACGGCGAAGATGTTGCCTGTGATTGTAATTTAGCTGTATCTTCCCAAAAAGAAACATCCTGGCTGAGGTTCTGGGGTACCATGCTGGGGTTCTGTTGTGACAGGCCGCGCTTGAGGCGAGGCTTGAGACAAAATGTTGCAGTTTTTCTCAGCCTGAATTCGTTCAGATATAAAAATCTGCTTCAGAAAAAATGTGACGGTTGAACGGATATATTCCCGTCGCCCTAAAACCACTAGCAGCTATTTCGGCACACTGTGATTTTAAAAAGGCTTTACCTAAAAGTTCTGCCAAGTCAAACTGTGTGAGGGCTCGTTGGTTAACACGAAGCCAATTTCTAATTTCCTCACTGTAATAAGCCTTGAAACTTCCCATGAATGTTTTATCAAGGGGTTGTAATTTATGAGTTGAGTGAGGCGGCAAAGAGATAATGGAAATATGATTTTCACGAGCTAGTCGAATAACTTCTAAGTTTCGTGTGTGGCTATAATGGCCATCTAACACTAGCAGAACTGGACATTCTTTTGTTGGTTTAACAAAATTTATGAAATGCCTCATCCAATCGGAAAACAAATTCTGTTGCAACCCACCCACTTGGATGTACTGCGTAGATTGAACCTGGAGGAGCCCCTCGCATCAGCTGTTCGTTGCGATTTTTTCTCGGGAAAATTAACATGGGCGGTACAAATTGACCTCCAGCGCTCATTGCAGCTATAAACGTAACTAGTGAACCCCGTTCGGCTGAGGTAATTGAAGCAATTTGCCGTTTTCCTTTTCTTCCCACCACTGATGCCACCTTACTTTGAACAACTGTAAGCCCAGTCTCATCTACATTGTAAATTTGGTGAGGCGAAAATTTATTTTTTGAGTATTCACTCTGCAAATTGTCAAAAAATTGCTCCACATTTTCCTTATTGAAGCCTAATGCTCTAGCGAAGGAAGTTCCTGTTGGTCTTCGAATAGAAAGTACATTTTTGTGACGTAGTAAAAATGCATCCAACCAGCTTCTCCCCCGCCACACCATTTTTAAATGGATGAGCTATTCCATTACGAACAGCTAAGACATATGCCATTTTTCTAATGTCCTTTCTTGTGAGACCATAGTAAGTAGCTTCCATGGACAAAACATATTGGACAAGTTCTTCCTCCAGTTCTTTTCCTAATGTTGTCTTTCTTCCTAGTTGAGTTTTAACTACGTCACTAATATTTAAATTACCTTCCTTTTGTTTTTTTAACAGTCTTTGAAGTGTAGATCGTGGCACGCTGAACTGTTTGCTTGCAGTTTTAAGACCCATTATTTTGTTATTAACACTGTCCATAGCCTTAACCATATCTTCACGTCTCCATGTTTGTCTTAAGTTCTTTGAAAAAAACTTCGGTTTGCTTCGTGGCATAATGAACTGCAAAAAAAACACTTTATTAAGACTTGGTCCGAATATGAGCTCTGTCCCATAATAGGACCACGGTAGGGGCCCATATTAACAACATTCCACCTGATTATTTAAAAGCATTCAATTTCTTCTCAATTCATTATTAGGTTAGTTTTTATGATGGAATATCAAATACTGATCACTTTTCTAACATACTAACACATCAACTCTCCAGTTTCAAACATAAACGTTGATAAATAGCACAAAAACACTTACCGTAAAATATTTGTTGAACTACACAAATAAACTTATGTCACCTGTTAGTACAGAGATATACACGAGACTGCGTGCATAAACAGAAAAATGTTTGGGGGTCTAGTAGAAGTATTTTAGTACGAAATTCATAGATGTCGCGACGTGCTCTAGTTGAAATATATTGGGGGCCCATAATAAGTGCAGGGCTCATATTCGGACCACTTCCTCTATGTAATTAAATTTTATTATTATTATTAAAGTGTACTTGAAAAGTACTAAAAATGAAAGTAATTTTATTCCAAATAACTATTATTAATCTAACCCAATGCTTATTCCCAAACTTAACAGTAAACCGTAAATACAGTTTGAATTAATTTGAATTCGGACCTGCCCGCCGCCATATTGGTGTAGACAGTCAAAATAAGTGGTCCCATTTATTAAATGCAGAAATATAGTTTGTGTCATGATATAAGGAAACAAGGTATGCTCACTAGTGGACTCGTTTTTGCACATTTCTGCGCCGACCAAAATCCACCATCTTTTCAATATGTCACATGTGTGTAGGGATGGTGACCTGATCCCGTACCAGTTACTTTGGAACATGTATTTTATTTATACTTGTGGAACTGATCCCTAACACCAATATATTATAAAAAACGAGTACGGATCATGGCCGTATAAATAAAGATCTTTATTTATACGTCCATGGTACGGGTACTGTACTCATAGTAAGTGTAAGTGAGCATACCTGACCTGATCCACAAAAATACTTGGATCAACCACCTCTACATGCGTGACGTCTGCTTTGTTTACTTTTGCATTTTTTAACCTTACTTTGCAATGTACTGGAATTTAAATGTAAATGTGTTTTTGTTTTGTTTCGATTTTTTAAAAATTATTTTAGCAAGAGTCTGTTCAGATCATTTAAAATATGAATTAATTGGATTAATGTATAATATTAATTTTATTTTATTTTATTTAACTACGATATTTCGTATCAATTTTGTACATATTTGAATTGCCGCCTTCAAAATGGCGGATTTTGGTCGTAAACGTGATTGGCTGTTCAAAATAGATGCGCGTGAGCATACCATGTTTCCTTATATCATGGTTTGTGTCATATCCCCTCTCTTACATATCTCTGATTTTACCGTATGTCATATCCCCTCTCTTACATATCTCTGATTTAGTAATTATTTTTTTGCGAAGTTAGTTACTTTTTGACAGACTAAAAGTGGCTGGAAATTACTATACAACCAAGCACACGTACTCATAGCCAATATTAATAATAAACAAACTAAATAGTAAATAAAATAGAACTTTGCGAATTACCGACAATTAATATTTATTTATCTGCACCATATAATAAATAGTTATGTTAAATTATAACAACTAAAATATATTTTTTAAATATAATACTACCCAAAATTTGATGAGTTAAGTATACTTCCACTATTTAGAATAATTCTTCTTTTTTCAAAGGAGAAAGTCTGCAATAGTAGTATACTTGAGCTATTAATACTGAGAAGTAGGAATTGTTGTGTTGTAGGTTTTCCTACAATGAATCTGTCAAAATATGCCCGAGCTAAGCGAATGGAGTATATTACTCTGTCACTGTCTGTCTGTGTTGAAGTCATCGAGCAATAAGACAAAAGAGGGAATCTAATCGTTATAAAAAGGAGACCAAAAAAGTGGCCTCTGATGGCGGACACATCCGGAAATGCAAAGGCGCCAAATTTAAATTTTTCGACACTTATCAACAGTAGCTATATAATATTTTTCAAAATGTGTCTTAGACGAGAAAGTTTTAATTAATTATTAATGATAAGAGTCTAAAATGCGACACAATTGTTAAAAACCTTCAATATAAATAAGATTTCATGTGACATTTGGGACAAACAATAACATAACCCAACTAAATTTGATGTCAAACAAGGAGAGAGACTCTCTATCCTTGTCTAAAGTGGCCTCTCAAGATGGCACTTCCTGTCTATCAATATGTTTACCCCTTCTACCTTTACATTCCCTCTTTTGTCTTATTGCTCGATGGTTGAAGTGTTGTGTTTCCTTGTGGAAATGAATATTTTGGTTGTTGTGTGGTATATTTATCTATGGTTGTGGTTGTAAAGTAAGTTAAAGTTGTGAGGAATAAAATTTTCTAGCATATTTTCAAATTAAGCATCCTCTTGGAAATAAAATGAAAGTAAAGCAAGAAAATGTTGAGTTGCCACAGGAGGATTCTAAAATGGATTTAAAAAATTGTGAAAGGGAGAGTGTGCTAGTTTTAAACACATTCAAAACTGAGTGTGTGAAGATGGAAGAGGACACTTCATCCTGGCGTAGTGATGATAATTACTTAGAACAAATTCACACAGAAATAGATATTGCTAATGAAAAATATGAACAAAGTGAAGAATATCCTAATTTATTGGATTTTGAAGGAAATCAAAGTAATGAACATGGTATGTTAAATTTAAATAGGAATGAAAATTATTGTGGCATGTTAAGTAATAAAACGTTTTCTTGTGAATTAAATGACATAATAAAGCTCTATCAACTTAGTATAAATCAATTGAAATACTGGTGTAGCCAAATTTCTTCCAGTCTTAGTTTTATTTTTCCCTATGATTTTTCTGTCATCATTCAATCTTCGCTTATCCACTGCTGGACATAGATCTCCCTCATAATTTTCTATCTATTTCGATCTTGTGCCTCTTGCATCCAATTCCTATGATGTTTTAGATCGTCAGTCCAACGTGTTGGACGACCTCTGCTTCGGTAGGCATCATCTCTTGGTCTCCATTCCAGTATCTGCTTTGTCCATCTATTATCTGTCATTCGAGTCACGTGACCTGTCCAGTTCCATTTTAATGTTGCTACTCTCCCTACTGCATTAACCACTCCTGTTCTTTGTCGTAGCTGGCGAGTTGGGATCTTGTCGCATAGTAAAACACCCAACATAGCACGCTCCATCGCCCTTTGACACACACGGATCTTTTGAACTGTTCTCCTTGTCGTGGTCAACATTTTTTGTAAAAGGTTTTTGCAAAGTAAAGGTTTTTCTTTTAAGGCATATTGGTATATCAGACGATTTGAAAATATGGTTCAGCTTGCCGAAGGCTGCCCAAGTCAGTCTTATATGACAGAGAAGCTCATCTTTTCCCAAATATTCCCAAATTTTGATAGTGGAAATTTTGTTAATCATTGTTTGGAAATTGCTCACAAAATAAATTGTATCTATGTGCTACAAAATGTTTCTTATTTAATTTTTTGCTCCAGAAAGTTTATAACAAAAGAAAGTCAAAAATCAGTCAAAAGACAAAACTTAACTATGAGCTTTAAAGCAGAGTTCTGCCAATCTCCAGAAAATGTTATGATCTACATGAAAATTGTCTAACTATAATGCCTCTATTAATAACAGACATCAATGTTTATTTACTTTTTGTTTAAAACTTATTTTAATTTTTTTATCTAAAATACATAAATATATCAACTACCTATATTACATATTTATATTTTTGAAGTTATACTTCTATACAAACGGTCGGCGTTGGAAATTTGCATGAGAGTGAATCTGTGAAAACATTACATATGTAAGATAATGAGTAAGAGAGAGACAGAAGATATATTTTCTCTCTCTCTTCTTCTCTCGAAAATAAAAATTTTTCTTTTGTATATATAATTAATATTATACTATATTATATATAATATATTATTGTCTATATATAATATTATATATTTACAATAATATGTATTAATATTATTATTTATGTGATATGTTTTGTATTAGTTATTAAACGTTTATAATTATTTTAGTTTATTTCAAAATATTCACTGTTTGGCCTAGAACTGTCAATTTTGAAATGCGTTAGTGTAATGTCTAATTGGCTAGAATTTTACATGTTTGGTTCATACGCTGGTGGTTGTCAGTTCGAATCCCAATATGATTTTTTTTTGTTTTTGAAATATTTAAAAACCCCACGTTAATCTTATTAAATATATGTAATATATGCAAAAATGCTAAATTTTAAAATAAAATGAAAATTTACAACATAATCCGAGTTGTTGGTTTTTTATTTTTATCTTCGTAAAGTAAGTTATGTATATTGGCAGTTTTAAATACTTACGAATATTGCATTTTGATTTATATTGTATTATTATATTGAATTATGTTGCATTGTATTTATTGTATTGTAATTTTTATATTAATAACAAAATAAACAATGAATTTTACTGTAGAGTATGTGTAAAAAAATATTTTTGGATTCAACTCCGTTTATACATATATGAAAATAAAAATAGAGTAGAGTAAATTTTTATTTGCATAAATTTTTAACCATAATTGAGCAAATAATGTCAATTGTATTGACATCACACATTTAAAATATATTAGCATAACAAATTAAATATGCTGATCAAGGAGAAGGATACGCCAGGCATTTTGCCACAGTATACGGCTCAATGTCAACTAGGTGTTGAAAAAATCTTTCTTTTAAAAGCTCTATAGTGTGTTTCCTGTTTAATGTCAGTTGGTAGACTATTATAAAATTTAACACACACATACAAAGGACTTCTCTCTGTTATAGACAATCTGTGAAGTGGCAAATTCGAATTAAGGCTTCTTGTATTATATTCATGATTGGGAAACAGGTGATTAAACAAAGAAAAATTTTTAAAAAGGAACATAATACATTCAAATATATAGATGGCTGAGAAAGTGAGTATATTGAGTGACTTGAATCAGCCTCTACAGGATTCTCCTGCCTTTAGCTCTAAATCACCCAGACTGCCTTTTTTTGGACTATAAAGACAGTTGAGCTATCTACTGCAGCACCCCAGAAGATTACTCCATATCACATAACAGAATAAAAGTTTGCATAATATACTGATAGTAAAATCCCCTGGTCTAGATAGCTCTTTAACACTCTTAATGCAGTTTTTTTGTTGTATTTTGTATTTGTTCCCCCCAATTCAGATTCTGGTCAATATGAATACCAAGAAATTTAACTGATCTAGCAGGTTCCGTGTTTTCTGATAGAAAATTAATTGTATCTGGAAACTGTTCTTGTGACTGGCTGGTTCTAAAGTAGACAAAAACTGTATTATCAGTATTAAGCAAGAACCGATTTCCACTGAACCACTGTTCAGCCTTGCTTAGAATTTGCTCTGCCATTGTGAGGAGTGTTTCTAAAGTTTTTTCCCAGAAAAGCACATTTGAGTCATCAGCGAAATTTACAAGGTTTGAGGAACTACTAACTACTGCATTTGGAAGGACGTTTATGGAGACCAAAAAGAGAAAAGGCCCCAGAACACCCCCCTGTGGTATACCTAATGTTAAATTGATTGGTTCAGAGTAAATCTTACATCCCCTTTTTTCCAGGCATGTCTTTTGCGACCTATCTGTGAGAAATGATTTTATCCAGTTTAATGCTGGTCCCTGTATTCCATAAAGATGTAATTTTTATAATAAAAGAACATGATCTAGGCTATCAAAAGCCTTAGATAGGTCCAAAAAGGCACCCAGTGTTTTCATCTTTGCCTCCAGTTTTTCTAAAACTTTTGATATAAAATCATAGGTAGCTGTCTCAACAGATCTCCCTGCAAGAAAACCATGCTGTGAACTACTAAACAAGTTGTTTGTAGTAAAAAAGTTTTGTAGTCTGAAATATATTGCTTTTTCAAATATTTTTGAGAATGATGGAAGGCTTATTGGTCTATAGTTTTTTCATCACTCGTAACATCACCTTTTTTATGAAGTGGCTTGACAATTGCCAGTTTTAAATTTTGAGGAAATTTACCTTGCCTGAAAGAAGCACTAACTATAAAAGGAAGAGGAAGATACATCTCCGATTAAACATATTTAATTTAAGTTGGTGATATTTCATCATAACCAGAACTATGCTTGTTTTTTAAGTTATTTATTATGTGACTTATTTCTTTCTCTGAAACTTCCAAACAGAAATAACCTTGATTTTTGGAATTACCCTTCATCTCTTTTACCAATTGCCAAGCCATTTTAGTTTTATTTTCGCTATTTTCAATTCGTTCTTTATAACAATTTTTTCGATATTGAGTGAGTAAAGAATTGTATTTGCGTTTTTCTGTCCTGTAAATATCTTTATAATCAACATTATTGGTAGACACTGTAAACAAAACAGCCTAGATTTACAACGTTTTATATCATCATTTTTAAAGTACTTTTGTGATTTTTTTATTTGCTGTATTTACCTCTTTGAGTGGAAAACATTCTATAAAAATTTTGTCTATCATCTACTTCTAATGTCTCAAAAACAGATACCCAGTCTGCATTACCTAACATGAATTTAAAAAAACTTTTATTCTCCTTGCTAAATATTAGTTTTTTTATTATATTTGACTCAAATTCATTTAATTCAAATTTTACCTTTTTAGCAGTATGATCAGATGTATGAGGATTGAATACAATGGAATCAAATCTGTCTAGATATGTAAAAATATTATCTATACAGGATTTTTTGTTACCTTGTATGCGTGTATAGTCTTTGATGGAAGGTTTTATATCAAAGGAGCTCAAAAACATTTTAAATGCCTCTGGCCACTTTGCACCCTCAAGCAACATATCCAAGTTAAAATCAGCAGCCAAAAAATGATGGAGTCCTTGTCAACTAAATCACAAAGTATTTGGTCTAATTTATTCATTAAAACTTGTGGGTCTTCTGTTCGGTAGATGGATAGGATTACAATCTTCTTCTTATTAATTCGCACCTCTGCAGCGGAACACTCAAACACCGTTCTTTCTGATAAACTAGAAATATCTTCCCAGGCTTTTGCAATAAATGTGTCTTTGATGTATACCGCACTGCCACCATGCTCCTGTGAACTGCTTCTGCAATATGAAGCGATCAGTTTAAAATTCCGCACATTGTAGTCCCGCAGTTGTTCTTCTGTTTTCCAGTGCTTAGTTAAACAAAGAGCAAAGCATTCATCATGATCTTCTAGAATAAAATTAATGGCATCGATACTTGTTTTAATTGATTGTGTATTTAAGTGGATTACTGATAATTTCTTTTGGTGTGTGCCGTAGACTGTCTTTTGACACTGGGGTGCCTCTGTACATTCTGAAAATGGTTAAAAATTACACCATTCGGCCATAATTCTTGCTGCATTAAATGAGGTATTTTTAGTTCTGGAACAGTAATTTTAAATGAACTTTTGTACTTATCTGTCCTGGTTTTCATTTCTTCGCAGATAACATTTTCATCCAGTTTTCTTTCTTTGAAATAGTTAAGTATTTCCTGAGCTTCCGTTTTTGGATCGAAACCTGACAGGAAAATCGCATATGTTTTGTGGCTACACGCAGGATACTTCCAGCATTCTCATTGGTTCCCTGGAGTGGATCTGGTCGTTCAATAAGTGTTGGACGAGGTGTTTTGTAACAACCTCTTTTTTTTGGGTTTCTCATTTATCATTTTCATCTTCAATC